TGTGTGTTTGGGGCCAACTCTCTTGTCTGTCCTTGACCACAGTTGCCTCATGTGTATGTGGAGACAAGGTTGTCACCTTCACAGCTGTCAGTGACATGCCGTACATCAAAGCTTAGGGACAGCTGCAGTGCCTCTGAGAAAGGCCCTGGGGTTCATACCCTTCCCAAGGCCCTGGAGGGGAGATGAAGGCTCACAGGGTCATTGTCCCTGGGACCAAATAGGGCCTGGCCTTCTGCAGCTGGCAGCTCCTGCTCTTGCAAGTGCTGGGGCTCCCGTCGCTGCCCCTCCCTTTGCTTTGGCTTCTCCCCTCCCTGGCTCTCCTCAGCACAGGCTCCCAGGCGGCCCAGTGTAAGCTCCATGCCTGGACATAAGTGACAGGCACACATACTCAGGCTTGGTCCAGCCAGCTCCAGCTCAGTGACGTCACAGCCTCCTGGGACAGCCACCTCCAAGAGCCCTTGGTCTTCCTTGGTTCTCAATATATGACCCCTGCTCAGGGCCCCCCTGCCCTGCCCCACCCTGCACAGCCCACAGACACTGGCCATAAGGGTCCCTCTGTGTCCCTGGAGCTCTTGTCTCCTTTTGGCAACGATCTCTTTGGCCTGTCCCTTTCTTTCCGGTGACTCTGGCTCCCTCCTGTTTGCTAAGGCCCTTCTTTCTCCTCATCCAGGACAGGCTCTGCACCTCTGCCCGCACTGCCAGGCTCTTCCCTTTGTTTCCTCTCCCTGCCGGACTCCCACGGCCCCACCACCAGGCTTTGCTGGCCAGTTAACCATCCATCTTGCCTGGGGAATAAATCTCGCCTCTGTTCCCTCGTTTATGAAATGAGGAGGTTAAGAGAACACTAAGCTCCTTTTGGCTTAGAATTCTGCGCTGCTCTCTTATTACAGACAGTGGCATTTTCAGTCCTAGCAGGGAGGCTGCTTGTTCCTGCCTTGGCCGGTGGTGCCCTCCAGGCCAGGCGTGCTGTCGTGGCAGCCTTTGCTTCCTGCACCTCTGCAGCCCAGCTGCCCCTCCTTTATACGGGCCTCAGGTCCCCGCTCTGCCCTGCGGCCCAGCCCTGGAAGGACGATCCAGTCTCCGGCCTGTCCCAGCTGCCTGCCCCAGCACCATGCCCTTTGCTGGGGCTCACCTTGGCCCTGAGGAAGGCCAGAGCTCGGCTGCTGTTCTCCAGGAAGTGCACGCGCAGGCGGCCCTGGCTCGGGGGTGGCAGGGCCTCCCCTGAGATGAGCTCCAGCAGCCGCAGTAGGTGGGTGCCATCAGCCAGTTCCGCATACAGGTTCTGGATCCTGATCCCCACCTAGCAGGGGTTGGGGGGAGGTACAGGGTCAGCCCGGCCTTCCCCGCCCGCCCCATCCCGGGGCCTGGGAGGTGCAGCCCTGAGCAGCGGCTTTGGAGGAAGGAGCTCTGGCCTCAGCTCTGCTGTGGGGTCAGGAGAAGCCTCAGGCAGGTGACCCCACAGCCTGTCCCCCAGGTCCACTGGCCAGAGCTGGGGACACCATAGGGGTGGGCCGAGGGGTGCACCCGGCTACGCTCACCTGGCCGTGCTGGAAGATGTTGTTGATCCACTTGGTGAAGGTCTTCTCCTGCATCTGCATGTGCCGTGCCTGCAGCTTGCGGACGTGGCCCATCTCGTACTCACAGTCCATGGTGGGGCCTGGACTGGGGGGGACCTAGAGCTGTGTGTCTGGGCCTCCCGCTGCAGGGCTGCCGGGACCTCGGGGCTGACCCACCATCAGTCCTGCAGCCCTTGGGAACAAGAGGCCACTGGACATCTCCCTAAGCCTGGACACCGGGGGCATGGAGATCCGGGGAGGAGGTGGATACTGACGACCCCTCTGCTAGGGACCTGGGGGCCCTGCTCCGCCAGACTGTCCCCACGTTTGGTGGGGTTGTGGCTTGGAGCCTAGCCAGGTGAGGTCTGGTGCTCCTGGCTGGTCACCTGTGCTTGAATGGCCCAAGGCCCCCTTTGCTTCACCCTACCTTCCAGATTCTTCTTCTCAGAGCCCCTGCCGCCAGGTGCCTCAGCCACAGTGACTGGCTGCTGCTCTTTGGGTTGAGCAGGGCAGGTGGAAGGAAAGAGGGAAACTGCTTCCCTTGGTGATGTCTGGGTCCCGGGGAGGAGGCCCCGGTGGGCAGATGGAGATGGCGTTTAGCAGGGACTGCACAGGGAGGAGAGACATGCGGCGAGGCCGAGGCTGGAGCTGGGGCCTCGCCACAGCCCTCCCCTTGGGCCAGCGGGTTGGGGTGACGGCACACAGGCTGCATTGTCCTCCCACCTGCCGCAGGGCGTGGCGCAGACTGGGAGGGGGTGGCTCAAGAATGCTCCAGGCCCATTGCCCATCCTCCCCCATCCTCCATCCTTAGCCCCCAGCGACTTCCCCAGCGACAGGTGGGGGTCCTGGCCCCGGGACACAGAGGCCCTTGGGACAGACTTGTCGGCTCATCGGGGCACCGTGGGGGCACTGGGGTCTGGGAAAGTGGCACCAGAGGGCAGAGCCTCTATTGGAAGCGAGTGGACTCACTCGAAATCTGGGGCTGCCCTTCTTCACCTGCCAGGGGCCTCTGCGAGCAGCCACGGTGGCTGGGAGCGAGCGTGCTGGGCCGTCTTCCTCTCGCACACCCCAGGGAGCGGCCAGAGACAGGGGCCACCCTCAACCCCGGGGCTGGGCTTCCCGGGCCCTGATAGCAATGCACCCTGCCTAGCCCGCGCTGAAGGGTGGGTGTCCTCCCAAGCCAGGGGCTCCCCCTAGGAAGGGGTGACCCGGACTGCAAAGGCTGTGGAGTCTCCTCCAGAGTCACAGTCTCAGTGTTGGTGCTGGGGCGCCGCAGAGCTAGCTGTGGCCCAGGTATGGAGGCGGCGGGTGCAGAGGGAGCCCCGGGGCTCCTGTCCCCCTCTCCCCGAGCACCCTCCGACTTCTCGCAGAGCGAAAGCGGGTGCTGATTCTGGTGGTTTCGCACAGCTCTCTGGCCACGCTCAGGGTAGCAGCCATCGGGCTGGGCTGTGTCTGTGCGTGGGTCCCCCAGCAGCCCCAGGGCCTCTGACAAGAGAGGCTGCGCTCCCCGGGGAGGTGCTCCTGGCAGCCGTGGCCTGCCCTCCTGAGCCAGGCCTCACGAGTCACACCTGACCCCCAGGGACCGAGACAGCAGAGGGCCATGCTGACAGGTGCTGTAGCCTCGGGTGGGGAGCAGCTCCCTTGTGTCCGAGAGATGCTTCCTCTCCCGCTGTCCTCGCTCTGCGAGGTCCCCCCCGCCACCGGCTGGCTTCTGGACGCTTGAGATGAGCCTGCACCCCTTCCTTGCTCGCAGCCTCGGATCCTGCCGCTGACAGCTGCGCCTGTGCCTCCCAGCGCCCCACCTTCTGCTCTCTCTGCCCCTGCGGCCTCAGCACTGTCCTCCAACTCCTCAGCCTCCGCACGCCACCGCCCGAAGCAGAGCTCCCTGCGACCCAGAGGACCCCCGCTGCCTGCGAGGAAAACCAGGCTCCTCAGACCTTGCTGGAACAAGGCCTTTGCAGCCCCCCAGTTTACCTAAGCAGGCGCCTCTCCCTCCACTCACCCTAGGGTGCTCCCCGTGGTCCACTCTTTCCCGGACAGGAACGTGGCTTTCCTGCACCAAGGCTGGGCATCGGCTTTCTCTCAGGTTAGAATGTCTCTTCCCTTTGCCTATCGTCCGCACTCACCTATCCTGTCAGCCCCAGTTAAAATCCTGCTTCTTCCGGGAGGTCCTCCCCGCAACTCTTTACCCCAGGGATGACTGAGCTTGTTTCTCCTCCTGTTGAGACCCTTGGCCCACAGCATCCTGTGTGATGTTGGCACCGGAGGACAGGCTGAACTGCATGATAGATCTCGACAGAGATTGCTGCTTTTGCAGTTGTTGGATGGGGCTGGAGGACTGCTTTCCTTCCTCCCTATCTCAACTGCAGCCAAAGCCACTGCACACACTGCAAGGACCAGCTCCTTTTTGGCTGTGACCAATTGCAGCCCCTGTGGAACCCTGAGAACTCTGTTGGTCAGTACAAAGTTTGGATTATTCATGTTGCAAGTAAAACTGAAACCTCAAGTTGAACTGGTTTAAATGATATAAAGGGAAGGTACTGGCCCGCATAATTGAAAAATCCAGCAGGATTAGGACTTCAGGTGAGGCTTGATCCAGCAGCTCAAATGATATCACCATAGACCTGGATTTCCTGTGCCTTTCTCAATGCTGCCTTCATGCTCCACAGGGTGACTCCTGCCAGGCTGGTTTCTCTCCCCTGCACCCAGGAGCTCTGGACACTCCTCATTAATTCCATTTATATTTTTGCACCAATAGGCTCACTTCTTTTACACTGCATGGTTCAGAGAAGAGAGAACATCTCTCCTAAGACTTGGAACAGGTCTGGGGGGCCTGGTGCTCATAGGCTTGAATTGGGCCATGTGTCCATTCCTGAACCAGTATCTGTGACCAAGGCACTGGGGTCTACCTCACCCAAACCTCATGGCTCAGAGTGAGGGTGGGGAGAGGGGAGTGCTCTGCAAAGGAAATTCTAGGTCTGGATCACCAAAAAAGTAGATAGTGCCAATGGGACAAATCCAGATGTCTACTATGGGCAGGACACACCTGTGAGGTGTGGCAAGAGGCAGAAGTGATGCCAGACACCCAGGGGCTCTTCCCGAGTGTCCCGAGAGCATGCTCGTCGATGCTTTGTCCCAGCCCCCGAAGCGCCCACCTCCACGACTCCCTCCTGTCTGGGCTTCCAGCCACTCTGGGGCCTGGGCCTCTGCTGCCTGTACCACCAGCCTCCCCACCCTGTGCCCGCAGCCTGCCGGGCTGCTTTCCTTCTGGAGCAGCCCCATTTGGGGGGCCTCCCTTCCCCCACCAGAGAGCGCAGGAGGGTTCACAGGCCCACCCTAACTCTTCTACCTCATTTCAAACTGGATCCTGGGATGCACGCTTTCCTCCAGACGGCTGACACACACACAGCCACCGCAAAGCCAGAGCCAACGGGAGAACAGTAGTGTTTTTCCACAAGTTTATTCATCAGTAGACTGCGGTTTTTTTGTTTTTGACACTTCTAAGCAAGATTACAAAAGGAAAGAAAAATAGAAGCATTGTGTATTAACTGCACCGGTTAATGGACAGGCAAACTGATACACTCTTAAATTAGGCCTGCGTGTTCCTGAATAAACTCAGTGGTCATCTGTCCTAAAAGTGTTATTCTTCTGCGACATTCCATGGAGGGAACAAGCAGTAAAATGCTTTCCTCATCTTCAAGGCAATTTGTCCTGGGTCCCCTCTGGGCATGTGTGAGGTGGCAAGTCCAGGCAGCAGCTGCTCCTGGCAGTGGACTCTGGGTGTGGCAGAGAGGTGGCACCCTTAGAGGCCCAGCAGAGCCACGGGACTGCAGTCAGGGCAGCGGGGCTTCTCCAGGGGGCTGGTGACGAGGGCAGGGATTGGGGGTAGAGCAGGAGGCATTTTGCATCTCCTTACGTGTTGTCACCTGCCCAGACACCTGACCACACAACACAGAATTCAACTCCTCAAGGCTTATGATCGTGTAGGAGGAACCACAGCCCCAAATCCAAAGGTGCCACTGCTACATAATGACAGTGTTCAAGAGAGAACGGGGGCCAGCCTCGGAGAAACAAGGTGAACTAAACGAACAGCCCTCCCCTGCAACGAGTGGCCCTGCTCTGGGGCCATGCAAGTGTGCGGTGTGTTTGGAGTCTTGAGAGAAAAGAACTGACAGACGCTGCCACTTGGAGCATGAGGCGGAAGCAGGTGTGACATGCGCATGTCCCAGCCAGCCCCAGAGTTTCCACAAGTCTGAGTGCAACATTTCTTTGCAGAAAGGGTCAGGAGCACCCCACGGGCAGGCTGACAACCTGGAAGTTGTCTTTGGGAGGAACAGGCTACAGTTTTCATTTTCTCTCTAAACTCGAGACTGCAAGGTCCGTGCCACGCGATGCTACATGCCGTGTAGACAGTAGGGCCTCAAGGTGCTCAGACTTCCTTCTGTGCAATCCGGGAGCGCATTAAGCTAGTTCTATGGTTCGAGAGTTTAGGCACTTCCACCCTCCCTGCCACACACAAATACTCTGGGCGGGGGGTTCTCTGAAACTTGGGGTGGTGTGGGAAGGGCAACACAGCCGAGGGGAGCAGACCCTGGGTATGGCCCCAAGGCCCTGCCGCGAAGGGGCAACTGGCAGTTTGGACAGGGACTCAAGGAACTTTGTGCCATCCTGGGAAGATACAAGTCCTCGCTTGGTCACCATCCCTGATGTTTTCTAGTCTTTTCCTTCCCGGTGAACCTTACATGGTAAATGACTTTGTGTTGTAAAAGAGCATATTACGAAAAGCAGACACATAATTTCCTTTTGCCCCTCCTCCCCGCCCCTGAGAACATCACCGAGTCCCAGCAGAGAAAGAATTCAGCTGCCAGAAGTCTCTGCCATCTGAGGGTGTGGGGTAGGGAGGTCACAACACCCTGAGAAGCTTCCTTCCACGGAGAAACCGGAAACCTCAGACTTCTGCCCCCTAAAAGAAGTGTTCCCATATGTCTATATAAACAAAACTTGGCCATATCTACATATGTACACATTGATAAATTTTAAAAATACTCACATGACATATATATTTATATAAATTTATGTTTCTATATGACAACTGAGCAGAGTTTAAGAAGCAAGATGATTCTGAGTGGAAAATCAGCCCTCACTGGCATCACTAAGCCTTTGGACAAACGAGCCCTCTCTTCTCCTCCTCAGCTTACCCTCTGGTGGTCTCCACTGTGCTCAGACTTGGGGCTGTGCTTACGTGTTCACAGAACTATCTGCTCACAGTACAGTACTGGGATTGTGTTTCTTTCCTACGTGTTTAATTAATTTAAAAGTTCTCATTAAGGCTAAAAAACCACATTATGCATTTACTTCTCTTAAAACTGAATTATTTAGAAAGTAAGCTAGGGAGTGTAAGGGTTGGTATCTGGGTATCAATGCTTCCCCCACAAATGTTTGCTCTTGAATCTGCAGCTCTGGCCTTGATGTCACCACAGGCAGGTGACAAGAAAAAGATCATATGGTTTTTAGAGGGTTCAGTGGGACTGTTCTGATTTCATTTATTTCTGGTGACCGCAGGGCCCATGCCATGCACCCACCACTGTTTTGTGTCTCTCTTTTTGCATAAATAACGGTGAAAGTCACTTGCCGCCCCGCGCAGGTGCCCAGGGAGCAGGGAGGGTGGTAAGAATGAACCCCCTGTCCTTGACATGGGCATCGGGACCAGCGGCCCCTACAGGTGTCCTCGGGGGAGCTGGGCAAGGCACACTTGGAGCCAGTGCAAAGGTCAGCGCCCAAATCTGTGTCGTGCCAGGCACTCATGACATGGACCACGGAACCTTCGAGGAAAAGGTTTTATATGAAAGATTCCACTTTGTTTCTGTATAAAGACTTTTATCCTGTAAAGAAAAAATAAAAACAAAAAACACTGGACATAGTAACTGCCTGTTTTCTACAAAAACAATGTCTCACTCTGGCAGACTGATCTTTGCTACTCACCAGCCCAGGGCAGGGCTGGTCTCTCATCCACCCGTGTCCGCAGGGCCCAGGACACTGCGCACACTAAGACAGGTTTTCACCGACTTTAAATCCTGCCTTCTAACAAGGAGCCTTGGGGATGTTTAATGGCTGAGGGCCAGGGCCACACTAGGCGATGACTGAGGAGAACTTTTCCTTACTGTAGTTTAAGCATACAGACTTTGCTACTACTTATCAGACACAGCAGTAAGAAAAGTTAATCTTCAGACTGCAACGTGACTTGAAATGCAAAGTGGAAGTCCTGCTAGGGGTTAAAAATGGTTGTGAGTTCCGAATTCCTAATCACATACAGCTTTACTGGGAAGGCCCCAGGAGGGAGGCCTGCAAGGGGAGGTCATCTGGTCAGTGGGTTCTGGGACAGACACACTCCTGGGCCTGGCTGCTGGCCCTGCTGGGGCTTGCAGAAGGGACGGGGCACAGAAGTAGCACACCTCCTCCCTGACCCAGGACATCTGTCTTCTACTCTTTGGTAGACAGTCTGGAAAGAGCAGAAACCCTCTACTCTATTTTTTCCCCCCACGCTAAATACAGCAGAAAACAAAATAAATAAGATCATCTTTGCTGCCCCCTGGTGCCCTCTGAGGGACAGACAGGTGCTCCAGAGGTCATCTGTGATGGCAAACAGCCCAGGGAGCCCCCAGCCCACTCCCCAAGGTTCCTGGGACTCTGCCAAACCCCAGTCTCCACGTGCTTCTCCAGGCTCCAGAGAATCTTTGGACAATTTCCCTTTCTTCTGAACACTTCCATCCCCTGACCCATCCTTGGCCCCCTAATATTTTGATAGAAACTCAGGGAATTTTGAAGGTGAAAGGACCTCATCTAGTGTCCAGTGTCTGCCCTCCACATTCTACAGATGGGGAAACCAAGGCACGGAGAGGGCAGTGCCTTGCCCAAGGTCATTCGGTGAAGTCAGTGGCAGAGCAGGCCTCGGCCCAGGTCCCCCGATTCCCCTGCCACGGCCCGCCCCTCAGTCGGCCTTCGGCAGGGACTTCCTGTGAGAGGGGGGCACGAGGTGGGGGGGCAGGCTGCTGGGCAGCTCGTAGCCGTCGAGCTTGATCTTGATGAGGTGCTTGGCCAGCGCGAACTCCTCGTCGTCCAGCATGCCGTCGCTGTCGCAGTCGGCCAGCTTCCAGATCTTGCCCAGGACGCTATTGGGCAGCTTGGAGGTCACCATCTCCTTCTTGGCGTTGACGCCCGATATCTTGCCGTTGACGGGCGACAGGGTGTAGAAGAGCTCGTCGTAGACGGGCTTGTCCTTGGCCACGACCCACTCCTCCTCATCGGCGCCCTCCTTGGCGCCCTCCCCGTAGCCGTGGTTGAAGGGGCCCTCGGCGGTGCCGTCGAAGGCGCCACCCTGCACCAGCTGCGTGGGCACGCTCATCTCCTCCTGGCTGATGAGGCTCATCAGGGACGAGATCTTGCTGCTCAGCATGTTGTCCACGGCCTCGATCAGCTTGGGCTTCAGCGAGTGGAACTTGGTGAAGTCGTAGTTCTCCAGCTGCTCCTGCAGAGGGGAAGCACAGGCTTGGTCACGTGCTCGCTCTCGGGAGGAAACAGGCAGGGGCGGCGGGGAGTGGGGTCGGGGGGAGAGTAATCCTCCCTCAGAGCAGACATCCCACCAACGCTACTCCTGAGCTCCGGCCGGGTCTTCACATCCACCCCCACCAGATACAGGAGTGCTTTTTTGGAATAAGAAACACGCTGCATGGGATGCAATGTGGTTTCTTCTACAGGAGCCAGTCTCTGCTGGTGGTCGCACAAGGGACAGCAACCCCCGAGGACTCTGAGAAACCCTCTTTCACCTGCCTTTTTAAATGCTCTAGAGAATTCGTATTTTCTCTCTCAAAGTGGTTGTACTACACACTTCAGTTGATCTTTACAACTATCCTGGGAGTGGGAAGGGCAGGCATTGAACCTGTTGTACAGAGAGCTGTGTGGGGCATCCCGGCGGAGTCAAGACTAGAGGTCCCGTCCCCTTGCCCTTGGCTAATGCTCTCTGTGCTGGAACATGGAGCTGCAACAGAGGGACGACATCTAGGTGAAACAATTAATGAAGGACTTTGTTTGGGATCAGATAAAAAATGTGGTTTAGGGTACCTTCCCACTGGCTCTAACCTCAGTAGGAATGAGCCCAGGAGGCTACTCAAGTAGGAACCCTATAGGAACAGCCCCACCAAAGCACGGCCTGACCAGAAGCACAGAAGCTACCCCAAGCAGGTGTTCACCCAGGGCCATGCAGCTCTTACAGATAGAGTTATCACCACTAATCAGCTGTCATTTCAAAAATGCGCACAAATGAGTAAAAGTTGAAACTGGTAAGAGGGAGAGTAGTAGTTCTGGGAGGGCAAGTGTATGAACCCAGACAACAGAGCTAAGTACCACTGACCAGGTCAGGACAGGTCCCCACCTGTCAGGAGAACTGGCTGTCAGCAAACAAAGCAGCAGGAGGAAACACAGCAACTGCTTGGCCAGGAGGAAGCAGGCTGCAGGATGGCACAGACGCTCTGTGGATGGTGCATAGAAATAGCCCTTCCTACCTTGGTTCTGTGGTTTACTCATCCACCCACCACCCATCCATCCTTTATCCATCCGTCCATCTATCCTTCATCCACTCACCCATCCATCCTTCCTTTATCTACCATCTTATATCCATCGTCCTCCATCCTTCATCCACTCACCCATCCATCCTTCCTTTATCTATCCATCCTTTATCATCCGTCCATCTATCCTTCATCCACTCACCCATCCATCCTTCTTTATCTATACATCCTTCATCCACCCATCCATCCTTCATCTACATCATAATCCACACATTCATCTTACATCTACCTATCCATCCATCCTTCATCTACCCATCCACCCCCCACCCACCCAAATTTTACTGGTCATTTGCTATGCATCAGACCCTGTTCTAGGACCTGCAGACATAAATATGAAAAGCCAGAGTTCCTGCTTTAAAGGAACTTATGTTATAATGGACAAAGGACACTCCAGTTGTTTAGTTCCTGCCTGCTTTCAAAAAGGACTTAACCTTGAGCTTCCAGTCAGTGACCAGAAAGAAAAATAAAATAAAAATTTAAAAAAGGACTTACAGTGAGAAAAGGATAACATGAAATATAGGAAAGTCATTACAAAGGAAGTCATTAAAAGGAAGAGGAAAGGAGACATCACAACATGGCTCAGGTTAGGGAAAGCGACTCCCTATAAGCACAGATGAGGGGCCGGGCACGGTGGCTCACGCCTGTACCTAGCACTCTGGGAGCCGAGAGGCAGATGCTCGAGGTCAGGAGTTCGAAACCAGCCTGAGCAAGAGCGAGACCCTGTCTCTACTATAAATAGACAAATAAATTGGCCAACTATATATAGAGAAATATTAGTTGGGCATGGTGGCACGTGCCTGTAGTCCCAGCTACTCGGGAGGCTGAGGCAGCAGGATTGCTTGAGCCTAGGAGTTTGAGGTTGCTGTGAGCCAGGCTGACACCACGGCACTCACTCTAGCCTGGGCAACAAAGCGAGACTCTGTCTCAAAAAAAAACACAGAGAGCTTGGAGCTCCAGGTATGCAGCTGCTTGGGGGTGGGGGGTTGGGATGGGGGGAGTCCGTGGGGACACTCACTGTCTCAGTGCTGTAAACAGCTCTTGCTGTCCAAGGAGAGAAAGTACCTCATTGCAAGAGACAAACCTTCCCTGGCCCTGACCTGTGGGAGTTACCTAGGTCTTTACATGAGGGGCTTCAAATCTAATGAAAAATGTCTTCAATAGCAATTTTACCAAATAAATGCAGAATTATCCCAGGTATGGCAGTTTTTATGTGAACTCTGTACGAACAGTTCTAGAGGGGGCCAAGGGTAGGCCACTCAATTTTCTGGAGATGAGGCAGGGAGATTCTCAAGGAAAGTCAGGCCTGATTGTTTTGGACAGAAGCAAAGTGACAGGCTATAAGGGGAAAACAAACAACCCCCCCAAACCCCAACTTGGTGCTATCATAAACATCATGCCTTTTTTGTAAAAAATTGAAAAAAAAAACCCTGCAAGCAAAAATAAAAATTTAAAATAACTTATAATCCCACCCAGCAATAAGCCCTGCTAGCATATTCGGGCATACATTTCTAGCCATTTTTACACACACACACACACACACACACACACACACACACACTTTAACTGAGATAATACTACACTGTTAAACAACCCATGTTTTTAAGAAATGACATGTCACATCTTTCCATGATATTCTTACATAACCCTTATTTTTTTAGAGACAGAGTCTTGCTATGTTACACGGGATAGAGTGTCATGGCATCATCACAGCTCACTGTAACCTCAAACTCCTGGGCTTAAGGGATCCTCCTACCTCAGCCTCCTGAGTAGCTGGGATTACGAGCATGCATCATCATGCCTGGTTACTTTTCCATTTTTTGTACAGACAGGGTCTCACTCTTGCTCAGGCTGGTCTTGAACTCCTGGCTACAAGTGATCCTCCTGCCTCTGCCTCCCAGAGTGCTAGGATTACAGGCATGAGCCACCATGCCCGACCCATAACCTTATTTTTAATAGCTACATAATACTGAACTGCATCGCTGGGCCATTCATTTACTCTGTCCCCTGTAGTTGGACGTGTAGCTCATTTCTGACAGAGAGTCAACATTGTGGTCTCTAGGGTGTGTGTCAGGGCAGGAATTCCGTGCTGATTATTTGGAAGCAGAGGCGGGACCTTTAGATGGTGTTGGGACAGAGCTGAAGCTAAGCAGGCCGACATTCCTCTAGAGAGGGGCCTCTAACACTTTCTCAGGCACCAAACTCTGCGGCCGTCTAAGCATGAGGAGCCGGGTAGAAACCCAGTGCTCGGCCCGTGCTCAGCTCACAGCAGTGGGGTGGAGCAGGCCTGGGCTCGCAAGTGAGTGCTGGTGTCCATGTCCTTCACTCTCACTGGCAGATCACAGTCGCCAGCATGTCAGCCCTGACATCAGCACCAAACAATGTGGCCTGCATTTGGGGCTCCTGCTGCCAACGTCTCAGTCAGTCACGGGGACTGAAAAGAGGAAGCCACACAGGTGGAGGAGTAGGCGACCCCCACAAAAATCTCCGTGCGGCCGGGCATGCAAGTCTGGATTCCCTGGGCGCACAGACACCTACCCGATTTCCTCATGAATGAGTCTGTGCTCTGAGCACACAGAGCCCTGTGTCTGGCCAAGCAGAAGGAGGTGCTGCCCGCCCAAACTTCCCCCCAGCCCTGGGGGGGGGATGTGGATTCGCACCGTAAACTTCTGGAGCACCCGAGACGGGGAATGGCCACGTATTTCCAGCAGCTATTCCTGTCCTGGAGGGTGCCTAGGGAATAAGTCCTCCGCTCTTGTCCCTGTGGTCCCCCACAGGCCGGCAAGGGAGTGGGGGTACCTGCTAAACCACTGTCATCCCTGCCCTCCCCCAGAGTGGGTCCAAAACAATTCTTGTTATTGGGATGAATACACACTGGGGAATGTACAGACTTCCCCATCAGCAATTGCACCCACCACGCCCGGGATCCTGGAACTGCTTTCTCTCTAGAGACAAAGGGTGGTTTCCAGCCCAGTCTCGGACCAGGCTACCCCTGCCCACGCGGGGCCAGTGCTGAGCAGAAGCGGTTTTCAGGCCTACGAGGGCCTGAGCGGGTGGCGCCGTCTCTGCTGCCCTCTGCTGTTGAAACGCTCCCAGCTCATTAGCTGTGGGGTCCAAATTCTCCCTCCAGTGGGAGGACGACTGAGTCAGCAATAGAGGTGGACTTTCTAGTGCTCTGCTTACCTGCGGTATCGACACACCTGTGCCGTGAGTCAGATTCCTTCCCAGAGGGGCAGATACAAGCAGCCTCACGAGCAGGCCACAGGGCCTGTCCTAGGACCGGGAAAAGCTTCAAAACACATGTCAGAGTCACCCTGACCAGCTTGGGAGAGAATAGGAAGGACAGAAACCCAAAGCTGGCATAGGGAGCCCTCTGCGTGGCCCTGATAGGTGCGAAGATCATAACATGGTCATCTCTAAGCTTACGCGTCCCCCTTCTGTCCCAGATGCAGTCGGAGTGAGGTGAGCCCATGTGGTAGGGGGTGTTAGACTCTCAACAGGCTCAGGGATGGCAGGGGCCCTAACCCACACCCCCAACGCCTCCGGAGTGACAGCAAACTAGCCTGAAGTCTCAGATGACAAGGAGCACTGCCCACGGGCTCCAGGCCACCTTGTTCCCTGGGGACTGTCTGGGGGGCTTGGAGTGGTGTGACTGGGACCCAACTGGCTTCCCAAAGAGGACTGTTCCTGCACTTCCAGGGCTTTGCTCTGGAAACCCTGGTCTGTAGGCCCTGGGAGTCAGGCTGGGTCAGGGCCTGAGAAACTCAGTACCCGAGAGCCTGCACGGCATGGATTTCCACTGACGTGCTCAGTCACTCGGCATGTATTCATCGAGCACCTGCGACATCCCAGGTGTAGGGATATGGCGGAGACCAGGGCACAGGTCACCAGTCTCACAGAGTTACCGTCTACCGAGGGAGAGAGACGTTAAGTTAATTACACTGAAGCACAACAGTATTCGCACTGTAACAAGGAGCATGTGTCCTGACAATGGGGTCGGTCACTGTCAAAACCTCCATTGTTAGCCACAGGCATAATGGCAAAGACTAAATTATTTTTACCTGTTCGTTCATTTTTGTTTGTCGATTTATTCCAGGGGCCTAGATCAGTGGCTGGCCATAGCAGGCTTAATATTTCTTGGGTGAATGAATAAATGAGCACAAGTGAACAGGGCCCTGTCAGGTGGGACCCTGTGCTCCCTGTCCTAGGACACCCAGGTGTCCCTTGAAAGTGTTAATGTGCCTGGTGTAGGGCCTGACCACAGGGCTTCTCCACAAAGGCCCGGGTCCTCCCTGTGTCCTCCAGCCAATGGGCTGCGGCCGCTCCTGAGACCTCACTCTCCTTGCTTTCTTCCTCCAGGACTGTCCCTCAGCCCCAGCCCTAAGGGGCCTGGGTGTCCTCTGACATGGCCAGGCCCAGGCTAACTCAGTCAGGAGTAGCTCTGGTCCTGTCTGCTCCCCTTGCAGGGGACTGGCAGGAGAGGCCCCGTACGGGAGGCCTTAGTGAGCCCCAGATCGCGGGAGCAGCATTCCCTGGGCAGGGCACCCTGGCAACTTCATGAGGTCCCCACTAGACACAGCACAGGCTGTGTAATTCTTCATAACCGTCATTTAAGTCAGGACACCAAGTTCCCTTCTGAAATATCTGAAGGGTACAAAGAAACAGCTGTCTTAGGGTTTGGCCATGGGGTACAGGGCCTGACCCACGGGTGTGAACTGGGGACTTGCTCAGGGAGGCTGCTCCAAGAAGCCACAACAGCCCTCCAGTTAGCTATCGCAGGACCAGAACACACCCCATCCATCCCCTGAGCACAGGAATGCCTATTTCATTGCTGGAAGAAAAATGACATTTCTGTATTTCTTCTTTTTTTTTTTTTTTTGAGACAGAGCCTCGCTCCGTCGCTCTGGGTAGAGTGCAGTGGTGCCATCATAGCTCACAGCAACCTCAAACTCCTGGGCTCAAGAGATCCTCCTCCCTCAGCCTCCCAGGTAGCTGGGACTACAGGCGTGGGCCATTGCGCTCGGCTAACTTTTCTATTTTTTGTAGAGACAGGGTCTCACTCTTGTTCAGGCTGGTCTCCAACTCCTGAGCTCAAGTCATTCTCCCGCCTGGGCCTCCTAGAGTGCTAGGATTACAGGCATGAGCCATCATGCCCGGCCATTTCTGTATTTATTCTTAAATAAATACAAATAAATCATTTTAACCAGATTGTATGTACCAGACACACTCACCCTGAACCTTGGCATCAACAGCTGTCATCAAAACGGTAAGAATAACCCACCCGAGTTAGTGTGTAATTTCCGTAAAGCTTACATTAAAAAACCCTCAGGATCCAAACTTCCCCTTCAGCTGCCTGTTGACCCTCGCCTCCACTGCCTGACCTTCCCCTCTCCCTGCCTTCTCCTCCTCTTTCGCCTTGTCCTCCTCCTGCTTCCAGCTGCACCTGCTTGCAGTTTTTAGGCTGCAGGGACTTTAGTGCTGTCACTCTGTGGCAGCAGATGGTAACAGTGATCTCAGTGAGCAGCCGGTATGCAGGTGGGCTTTGTATGGCCCATGGAGTATTTTTTGAAAGTCTGAACCAAAATTTGAAAACCAGGCAATTTTACAAATCCAGATTTCTGGCTTCTCTTGACCCACCCAGGTCCATAGGGCATCACCTACCGGGCTGAACAGGGCTCCTGCATGCTCCTCTCTGTCCCACAGGGAGCCCTGACAAATTCTCATCACACCTGCAGAATCGTGTCCTCCCTGGAGAGACATCTCTTGGAACCACCACTCTATCAAATGCGGAAAGACAGAAGGTAGCCAGAGCGGGTGACACAGTTCCTTCTGCCCAGCCTGCAGCAGCAAGGCAGCCTGAGCACATAATCCCACGGCACAGGGCAGGGCCAGGCAGGGCTTGAGGAGGCCCCTGGTGACCTTGAAGGCCACTCCTGGTGCTGATTCCCTTAAGGTGCTAGGATTCTGAAAAATAGGTGTCACCCCAAATCACACCAACCTCCCTGAACACAGTCTAAGAGGGCTGCTCACCTGATTTTCTCACGTGAGCTTCATTTCGGTTACCTTTTGCTACGTGTCCTCTTTTGTTTCCATATTCCATCCAGAAGGCAGAAATTTTCTGCTTTATTCACAGCCTACTGTCACAGGTCACCATTAGGAAGACCCATTCATTGCATTCTTCTTGATCCTAAACCACAAGACCCCCACGTGTCCCCGGCAGCTAGCCAGAACCGGGGCACTGCATCTCCACCCTCTGCCCGTGACGCCATAACAGGCTCCCAATACCTGCATGGCCTTGACTTCGGGGAAGTCCCCTGCAGAAATCTGGTGTTCTCGCTGTAGCTGAATGTAGATTTCTGGTAGCCTGCTGATAAGTTCCCTCTTCTTGTTTTCCTTCCCAAATACGCTTGGCATCTCCTTCTTCAGGTGGCTGATGATGTAGGCGTGTACCTGAAGGGGTATATATCAGATGAGATGTGTCACTTAATACCGCACCAGAGAAGGAACAAACACGATGGCATGTTATAGGCATCATGACACACAACAGGCACCTGCACAGAACCACGGTCCTCAGGGGTGGGAGGTGGGGAGCACTGGGGGGGGGGAGCCATCTAAGGGTGAAATATGGGCCACACGTGGAGAGGCGCTACAGCTTACGGTTCTGCCGTGCCCCTGGGTGGCAGTTCTGGCGCGTGTGTAGGAGTGAGCGGTGTGGGTGGGCCTGGATGCGAAAGCTCTTAGTTCTGGTGATTAACCGGGAGGCCCAAGAAAACGCTTCACCAGGACTGGTGCCTGGGAACAACAGGACATTAAACCAGAGGCTGCTAGAAATGGCTGAATCCACGGCAATCTGTGTGCAGTGAACAGCGAGATGAGAATCTCCATAACCTCCCTGTGGACAGTGTAGATCCTGAGATCTCTACAGGCGGCACTAAGGTCATTTCTGTACAAGACCAGCTGCCTGGGACCAGGCTGGATGGCAGAGGCTACCTCTGGGAAAGCAGCCCTGGGGGCCTGAGGAGAAAGCCCCAGAAACCCTGATCACAGTAGTTGGGGGACAGGTGGCTGGGGACTGTCACTGAGCGGGGTGAATCCCACTGGGAGAGCTCTATTTGGCCTGTGTCACACCTTCCTTAACGTTCCCACTCTTCTGCTGGTTTCCAACTTCAGGACACTGAGAAATGTTCATTACAAAAGTTCTCTTTGTATATCTTGAATTCTACAGAGTAATTTAGAAGTCAAGTAAATAACTGAAATAAGAAAGGATGAAAAACAGAACAGTGATTACAAAAAGAAAATGACTATGTAGCTATGGAAAATCCTATTAAAGAAAACAGACTTCTACTATAATCTTGTGGAAGAATGGAAATTGAATAAAGGGGGTAAGCAGATACATTCCGTAGCTCCGCTGAGGGCCTCTGTGTACGGATACACGCTGGGCACAGCCCAAAGCGTCTTGCTAGGATTTGAGCACTAACGTAAGCGTGTGATGCACATGCGGACACGCTCAGACCAAGCAGTGCTAACTTTCCACCTGTACAAAGGTCGCTTTAACATAAGCACACACTGTGTGCTGCCTGGCTACTGCTAAGAGCTGCGGTCCCCAACCCCTGGGCTGTGGCCTGGTACCAGTCCAGGTCCTGTTAGGAACTGGGTCTGGCATCCCCACCTGAACTCTGCATCCCCCCACCCGCACCCCTGGTCTGTATTAAAATTGTCTTCAGTGAAACTTAGGAACCCGGCCACACAGCGGGAGGTGGGCAGTGGGCAAGCGAGGAGCAAGTGAAGCTGCATCTGTATTTACAGCAGCTACGGCCACGTCCATCGCTGGCATCGCTGTCTAAGCTCCGCACCCCCAATCCGTGGAAAATCGTCTTTCATGAAACCAGTCCCTGGTGCCAAAAAGGTTGGGGACCTCTGGCTAAGAATACGGATTTGGAGAGACGATTCTAAACTTTTCTGACACCAGCAAACTTATTTTTCAAATGAAAATGATATATTTCTAAGATTCTTAGAGATAACTAGAGAAATCCAAAGTTTGGGAGTAATTCATTTAGAATTCTAGGCTTTGCCCACATTTCTGAGGAGCTGATGGACGAGTGGTAAGAGAACAATTTCTTTGCCTTAGACACTGAATGCCTGGCTTGGTGGTGTTGGGGGCTTGGGGACAGCCGGTGCTGCCATGCTCAACCGGGGAGAGCCAGCTGCTCACCAGCTGTCCTTGTATCATTTCCTAGGCCTGGGCTCATGGATAACTCTCCCTTCTGGGCCCAGGCCTGCTCTGCTCTAGAGCCAGCCCCAGCGGAAGCAGGAAGCCCCACAGCCGCTCGGTCCCCCGCATACTAGGGCTTCTCACTGAGACCCCACCCCCGCCAGAGCCCAGGCTGCAGCAGCTGCCAGGCTCCACTCAGGGAAGGCTTAGCTCCTGTCCCTCCATCAGGCTGACTGTCCATCTAGCCCCCAGGCCACCTAGGATGGGCACCCTGTCCCTGAACACTCCCTGGTGCTCAGGGCCTACTTTACCTGGGCTGAACTCAGGTGACGTGCACCTGCTGGCTCCCTCATCTTAGACCTTGTGGTGTTTACTGGCTGATAATTGGGGGCTGCTGGCTGATGGCCCGTCCTTGGACACCTGGCCCCCACTGCCCTGACAAACCTTGGGGCAGATGTCGTGCTAGGTCTCCACTCCTCCTCCTTCCGCCAGTCTGGGGCTACTGAGTCATGACTCTCAGGTGACCTGTTTATGCTGCAGGCAGCTCTCAGACCCAAAGTCCACTTCTAGGAAGTTCCACTGGCCTGTTCTGCATAAGTCTCTTGTTATGCTGCCTCTGTGTGTCTACCCCACTCCTGCCTTTCCTGGGACATCCTAAGATAACAACCCAGGGTCATCTTCCATGCATGGACCCTGCCTTTAAGAAGTTTGTCAAGTTGTGAGGTAAATTACAATTCTTCGAATAGTGGAGTATTGAATATGGAAGGGACCCCTCTATCTAATTTAACTCTTGGTTCCAGGAATTCATATAACTCACTTGAGGTCACCCAACTAGTTAGGAGATGCAGAGCTTGTACTCACATCCAGCTGCTTCATTCCTGTTGTTATAGAATTCATTACTTTCTCAGGTATGAATTAGAAATCTCACTGAAGCTGTGGAAAAATCTGGAATTCAAAATGAACTGCATCCTACAGAACAACAGTTTGGACAGTTTTGATCTGAGGTTTGACTTCTGATGGTTCCTCATTCACCGGGAAGTATTGGAAGGTCATTGCATAGGGGTGTGAATGAAGACTGCCTGCCATTTTCTAAAGGCACTTGGTGAACAGAGGGGACAGCCTGATGGCTAAAATCTATGGTCGGCTTCAAAAGCTCACTCCTGCCCTTATGGGTCAAAGATGTCTCCAAATAATGCCGAGCCAGAGGCCAGACCTGGCAGCTGTCCCTGTGGAAGGAGGTGGGAGCACGGGGAGACTTTTTGTTCTTGGTAAGGAGAGCAAACTAATTGAGAAGAGGAGGAGAGGAAGAGAATGAGGAGGAGACTTAGGGCTGGAAGACCAGGCTCAGGCCCCCAGGGGTCCTGGCTTGCTCAGCCACAAATGGAAATGACAACATTCATCTCAAAGAGGTGTTGCTGTGGGAATAACAGAGATTGTGCATTTGAATGTACTTTCCCCACTAGAAGGAGGAGTATAAATGTTACTTGTTTTTTCTTTTTTTTGAGACAGAGTCTCGCTTTGTTGCCCAGGTTAGAGTGAGCGCCATGGCGTCAGCCTAGCTCACAGCAACCTCAAACTCCTGGGCTCAAGCAATCCTTCTGCCTCAGCCTCCCGAGTAGCTGGGACTACAGGCATGTGCCACCATGCCCGGCTAATTTTTTCTATATATATTAGTTGGCCAATTAATTTCTTTCTATTTATAGTAGAGACGGAGTCTCGCTCTTGCTCAGGTTGGTTTCGAACTCCTGAGCTCAAACCATCCACCTGCCTCGGCCTCCCAGAGAGCTAGGATTACAGGTGTGAGCCACCGTGCCTGGCCTAAATGTTCTTTGTTCTTATTAACTGATGGCCAAAGTCTGACAGCTGCAGGGGTCTTCACAACAGAGAAGGTGACTGGCTACTTAGTCATTACTGAATAACCAACAAACTCTCCATATTTGAATAGTAATATGATGAATTTAGGTCCTAAGTGTTTAATTCACAATGATATTCAACACTGATCAGTGGGGGCTTTTGAACTTTCTTACCTTGTTCAATTCATCCTTTCCCTTCTATAAAATTGGAAAAGCCCCAAGTCAGCTAATGGTGATGAGTGGGTGGAAATCAAATGGATCAAAATGACGAGACTACAATTTTTCTCTGGGCTCATAAATCAATGGGAAGAAAGGGATGTGCTCCCCTGTAAATGTATATGAACTCATACAAAGTTCACACACACACTCTGACCCAAATCCCATTAACGTATCCAGTGACGTGTGTATGTGCGTGTGTGTATCTCCAGGACTGAGAAGCACGTACTCAGGAGTGATGTATGCTATCTCCACTCTGTGCTTGGAGGGCAACCCCAGGCAGCGAGTGCTGGAAGCTGCCAGTGCTTATGATCGGCCGGGAACCTTCATGGAGTGTGGACACTGGGCAGCAGTTCAAGGGAAGGCAGGGTGGGATAGTATGGTTGCACACTGTGCCACCCTCGTCTGTAAACTTAACACAGCCTATTGGAGACCTGTGGCTTTGTAAGCGAACTGGAAACTTGCAGAGAGCATTTAAAACCAGGAGATCAGCACATTTAAAAAGTGGGTTTATGATGATATAAAAAAATTCAGTTAATAAACTAGAGACCCAAAAGGTAAACCATGGGGCAGTAAGAGTGTGAGGCTGTGACAGGCAGAGAAAAGCAGCTGCCTTGTTCCTGCTCGTGCAGGACTTTGTTATTGGACTAAAACTGGCACTAATGACACATGTGATTCTGAACAGCCTTAAAGAGGACTTGAGGGGGCCCAGACAGTCATTTGAGGTTGACCTTCAAAGAGACAGGCTTCCATATATGGGCTCTGGCACGGACATGCACCCACAACAGCTCAGGGCCGACCGAGCTATTTTTAGAGCCCCACTCTGGAAGAGGCATTAAGGTGATCATCACCTACTGTGCAATGGATGATTCGTACACACCAGGGCCGGGATCCATTTGGTGAACAACACAATGCCTAATGTCTCCCCAGGAGGACGTGACAGCGTGAACAGGCAGGAAGGCCAGGCTCCGCACGTTACACGTGACCAAGATGAGAATGTGTTTTGAAGATGAAACAGAACTATAATAAACCCTGAAAAATCACTGACCTCTCCTTTTCTTTCTTCGTTTTACTTATTCCTTCCTCAAATGTTGCCTCATTTTTTGTTGAGCAAAGATCTCCAAAGGGGTGGGAACCTTTCCTATTCTTGGGCAATGTGTTTACGAAGGGTGGGGTTGCTTCACTTCTTACTTTTGTTCTTTTATCTCATAAATAGTATCATTTGAGATATGTATGAATCTCATTTCTTTAATTTGGTTATTTTAGTTATAGCTGAATGAAACTATATTTTATAAACCCTTTTTTGGACTTTCTTAAAATAACTTGCTCTAAAGAATCATGAAATGAACCTCGATGGGAGTCTCAGGTGTGAACAGTCTTCCCAGAAGGATGTTTACTGATGTCATCAGATGTGATCTTTGAGGCTAACCAAAAAACCCACTCTAAGGGTTTCCTGTTCCTTGAAATAGAGTTTTGTGAAAAACAAAAACAAAACAGAAAAGTAGGGAAATCATTAAATTTCAAGAGCTCTTTGGTAAGAGTATCTATTCTTCACATTATTAAAATGTCATCTTTATGATAACACCTTGAGTTTGATTAAAGCGATGACGCACTTGCTTTATCTGGATGGGCCACGAATTCTGCTTAATTATCGTGTTCTATAAATAGACACACTCAACAACCCAGTTCAGATCTGACACCTCTTAGCTGACATTTGAAAACTTATCCTTTGCATGTTTTCAAAATGCTGGTTTGAAAAACCTAAGCTTTGTAGGGTTTCTGTGGCTGGAGAATTTTATACAATAAACAGAACAATAGATTAATGCAGAAAGCAAGGACGTAAGTAAGGAGGTATTATAGATGCTGTCCATTTGGGATTGCAGATGAATGCCTTCTGGACCCAGGAGTCACAATGATGGGGCAGCTGAGTCTATGTTTTGCAACTTATAGGCCATGAAACCTTGGGGATGTTATTTCACCTTTCTGAGCTTCAGTCCCCTCATGTGTGAAATGAAGATAAAAACGCCAGACTTTGTGTAGTTATCAACAGCATCAAACAAAATAACACATGTAATGCAAACTGCATAGGTCTAGAACACTGTTGGTGAGCAACAGGAAAACTGGACTAAAAGAAAGATTGCTTAATATATAGCATCAAAATATTTTTAGAAAATATAAACATTCCAAAGGTGAAAAACTCAGGTGACTCCTTGTCCATTTAAGCAAAACAAGTTCATAAATGGAGCATAAAATTGCAGATTGTATACAGTGGATGTCACCAGCACGGCCATTGCACTGACTTCGGCTTCTTATCCAGCTGAGACTCCATTTCCTGTCCCTGCTTCTCAGCATGGTACTGCCCCAGTTAGCAACTGGCACTGAGAAGCCCAGTCTGCACATATCTGTGCTTCAAACATTTTCCTTTGTGAAAAGGAACAAGCCAGATACTATTCTTAGGAAGAAAAAAATACAAGCTTTTTCCTATAAGTAAGCTCAGCAAGTTTGCCCGTCCCCCACTGCCCGCGTCTACACAAGGGTTCTCATTATTCAGCGTCAGACACAGAGCAGTGTTCTGTGCCTCTCGAGACCTAGACCACGCTGGCTGCTCAGAGGGCCTAGCTCTCAGCCATGGCAGGCAGCTCTATGGGTTACGGTGCTTGACATTTCCAGCAAGCTTTCTGCTCCTTATTTACTCACGTGACTAAATATAGCAGCATCTTGAGTCACTGGGCCTTCAGCAATGACTGGTAAATTAAAAATGTCCGTGAGCATTTGCAAATAGTTAAAAAAGAAATCTTAAAATCTGCAAAGGAGAGCCAGGTATGGTGGCTTGTGCCTGTAGTCCCAGCTACTTAGGAGGCTGAGGTGGGAGGACAGCTTAAGCCTGGGAGCTTGAGACTAGCCTGGACAACATAGTGAGACCTGTCTCTTAAAAAAAAAAAAAAAAAAAAACAAGATGTAGGTCAAATTTCCTTTAACGATGCAAATTACTAGCAGAAGAGGGCAGGCCCCAAGCAGTAGATGGCTGCCTAGACATCAGCAACTAGGATGTGGCTGCATACAGTGGCTCATACCTGTAATCCCAGCAACTCAGGAAGATGAGGAGTGAGGATCACTTGAGCCCAGGAGTTTCAGCCCAGCCTGGGCAACACAGTGAGACCCTATCTCGAAAACAAACAAAAAAACCCCCCACAAAATGCAAAACTACAAAGGCTATGACATGAGTTACCAGCTTTGGTTATAAATAATGTGGGATGTCATGTAACCCTGAAGGTTAAGTTCAGCCCTACCAGCTGGAGAAGAGAAATACCACATGCCAGGGGATCGGTCCCTGAACAGGCAAAAATAGACTTCCCACGACCAAGCATAAGGCCCAGGACAAGTGCAAGGGAGAAACCACCTCAGGAGTGAAGCACTCAAGTGGATTTACAGACTAGTCAGCACGCCTGTCTTGCAGAACTGAAACAAAAGTGGCTTGTAGTTCCGGAAAGGAAGTTGCTTGCACCAGGAAGAAAGGATAAGGAAAGGTGACTCAAAGCATAGTGCGACGTGCATGAGTGGAGTGACAGGCAGTGTGTGTGCAGCCCTGCGACACGGAGAGGCGTCCTTCTGGCGCAGGAGACGCTGCCGTGTGGGCGCGGGGCGCAAAGGCAGCCTGCTGGGCAGCAGCGAGGAAGTCGGAAGGCTCATCTCCGTCTCAGCTGTCACCCTCAGAGAAGCCCTTCCTGCCTCTCCCCGCCAGGCCCTCAGTCACCCTCTTCAGAGCACCCACGGCACAGCGTCCACACCTCACCATTCCCTAACGGGGGCTTCTGAGCCTCTCCCCGCCGCCAGGCGAGGCTCCCAGCCCTGGCCCGGGGTGCTGAGCTCGTGTGGACTGAAGGCAGCCACGTGGTGGTGACCAGAAGGCCGACATTCTGGGCCCCAAGGCCAGGCCAGAAACCACTCACTGCGAGGGGAGAGGATGTGGGTTCTTGGCCCTCAGAAGACCAAGGGAAGGTCCAGATCCCCTGACCAGGACCAGTGGCCCTGGAGATTCAGGCCTGGGGACTGGTGTTAGCTGAAGTGACGAAGCTCAACGCAGAAGGCTGGACTGAGAGCCAGGAGGTCTGACTTTTAGTTCCGCCTTTATCACTAATGGATTAGGTGACCCTGGAGACAACCCTTAGCCTACCTTGTCCTTGTAAAATAAGGGAGCAGCACAGAGCTCTGGATTCCAAACTTGGCTGACCATCAGAATCACCTGGGAAGCTTTATACACACACACACACACACACACACACACACACACACACACACACACACGCATTTACATAGATGCATGTGCGCATATGGCCACACATACACTATCCCCTACCCCCAAAATCAGCAGCTCTGGGGCAGGGCCTGGGAATTTACATTGAACTTGACTGGGACTAGATAAGCTCTGCAGGCACTTCCAGCATCAGAGGACAACGATTTTATGAAACATAAATATTTTTTAAAGAATCATCTTTTCCCTATACTTTCTCTTGGAGGAGTAGCATGCTTTTCTCTCTCTTGAGAGATGTGACAGGATTGATGCTGAAACTTGAGGGGGGTCACAGACAACCACCACTCGCCCCACTGGGCACACACCCCATGGCTTCGGAAAGGCTCAGTTACAAGGTGGGGCAGCCGGAGCCACAGCATGGCTGCTCACGGGCTGCAACCAGAATGCGGACAGGGTGTGACCCCAAACCAGCACACTCTGCAGATGAGGCTGAGCCACCCTTTCCCCCAGGGCTCCTCTGGATCCAGGTGGTGACACTGGGCTCTGTGCTGTAGGTGCATGGTGACTAGTGGTGGCCTTTCAGCACTGTGCTGGTCTCGCCAACACCACCTGTCTCAGGTTTGGCTGGTTACACTCCCATCGTCCTAACATCCTAACAGCTTCCATAGCTGTGTACTGACTGATCCCTCCCTACACGATAGGCACTATGCCAAGAGCTTGTCACACTGACAAACTGTCACTGTGAAATCTCATAAGCCCCCCGGGAAGTGCTCTCATTAGCTCCTATGTACAGAGTAAGAGCAGGTTTGGAAAGGCTAAGTCATTTGCCTAAGGGCACGGAGCCAGGAGCTGGAATGTTAGCAGGGCTACCTGATCTCGAGCTGTGTTCTTAACCTATCACACTCCATATCTTAAGGCTTCTGGAATGGGGCCTCCCCCAGCCCCCAGCTTGCCTTTGGAGAGGAGAGAGGGGCGTGCCCAGCCCACGGCTGCTGCCCAGGGCCTCTCCTGACTCACCTTGGCCAGCCTTGCTCGCTTGATGAGGTCGTTGAGTTTGCGCACCGCTGCCTTCTGGGGAAGGCTCTGGATGTCTCTGAAGAGGTCCTGGGCCTCGGCCTCGAAGAGCCGGCGGTTGTCTGTGTTCTGCAGGGGCTGTGCCCAGAAGGAGCCGATGTAGACGCGCAGCACCTCAGGTGTGTTGATGACCTTGCCCAGGGACCACATGAGGGCCCCGTAGACTCGCATCAGCTGCTGCGTGTCCACTTGGTCCGCCTTGTTTAGCACCACTCGGATCTTGTCGTCCTGGCCCCGGAAGGCCTTGATGGCCTCTGAGAACTCGTCCGAGATGTCCAGCTTGTGAGCGTCGAAAAGCAGGATGATCCTGTCGACCCTCTCGGCAAACCACTGCAGGACCTGGCAGAAGTCATACCCTGGGTGGAGAGAAGGGCACGTCAGTGTGGCCGGCAGTGGCGGGAGACACACTTACAGGGGGGGCTCAGGGATGTCTCTTTCCAGCGGCTGCCAGGCGGAGAGCCCCACCTCCAAGTTGGAGGCAGTGGAGGCCTCGTGACTTGGAGGTCATTTCAAATGGGGCCTCCTGGGCTGGATGAATCTGGGGGTTACCACTGGGGATCTGTGAGCTTTTCCATCGAAAGAAGCAGGGAATAAAATGGGGCTCCTGGTCACTTTGAGAGTCACTTGCTTCCATATCTGTAATTTCATTTTGTCCTCGAGTCTCTAATTCACCCAGGACAGTCCTTTTGATCAACGGCAAAATTAATCAACGTTTCAGTGAAAACACAGGCATGGGTCAAAAGCCCTCACTTCTGAAAAGTCTCACTTTCCTGAAAGCACCAGAGATAGAAAAGGAAGAGAACCTCCCTGCAGGCTGCCCGAGTCCCACGTGTCCATTGGGCACAGGAGGAGAGGAATGGCAGCCTCTTAGCCCGGGTTTGGAGAGTGTTGACGAGGTCAAAGGTTGGCCTGGCCAGAGTCTTGACCAATATTTAGCATTTGGACTATTCATAGCTCAAGGTATTATAAATATTTTTAAAAATTATGTCTTACAACCATTCTGTGAAATGGTCTCTTGCCAATTTATTTTTTTTAATGGCCAGGCCCACAACACAGTCTGTTTAGCTGCTTTGGCCACCTACCAACATGCTCCAACCCTGCAGCTAAATAAACACCCTCTGGCCTGAGGTCAAGACTGTCCAGCATTTCCCCAAGGAGGCAGATTCCCATGAAAAGCAAACAAGAGGAGGCCAATCCCACCAAGTTTACTTTTAATTTCCGTCTGATTAGCTGCAGGAACAGAGTCTCCATCCAGCCCAAACAGTGCTGAGATGTCGCCCTGCCCGACTCCCACTCTAGTGATTTTAGATTTTGAAAACTTTCAAACATACAGTAAGTCTAAACTAGAGAGTAACACAGCACATGCTGATACAGCTACCCTGTAACTTTAACAAATTTTGACACTTTGCCTTGTTTGTTTCAGATGCTTTTTAAAACCAATTCTATTAATACTTTATTTAGGTAACAAATACCCTAGAGTGTGTGAGAATGAACTAGATCTTCACTTGTCAACACAGATCTATCTCAAAAAAAAAAGTAAAAGATCAGTTTCAAAAGGGTATGTGCAACACGATAACATCCACGTAAAATGTTAATATACAAAATAAAGAGCCATCCATGGATACATTCCACAACACAAACACAAAGATGTCAACATCCACCATAGGACGCTGGCTGGCTCTGGGGTTGGGGGTGGGGGTATCTAAGGCAGGTGAGAAAGTACCAGAGGGGAGTGACCTCTCAGGTGAAAATAAAGGGGGTCCACAGACTAGAGTTTCATGCATTTGAAGAACAGGTATAAGACGAGTAGTTAAACAAGCAAACTGGATTCAGATACATTTTTAGTAAAGAAAACAAAACACTCTGAAATGCCGAAGCCCCTGTGCGCCCCTCCCCGAGCCCTCTCCCGTTTCCTCCCCAGAGGAAACCACTGCTCTAACTGTGCTGTTTATGCCCCCACGCATGTTTGATACTTCCAGTTCACGCTTTTCACTTCTCTATTCCCTCTCCCTGCGGTGCTCCCTGGTTGCTTGGGGGCACAGAGGACAAGGGTAGTTCTCGGAATATGGGCCAGAGTTTATTTTCATCGCTGTCAGCAGCCAGTTTAGACCAAAGGAAATCAGAGACCCCCTGACTGGGATTAGAGTTAAAATCTCACTGAGTTCTGTCCCTGCAAGGCCAGAACCAAGTACCTACCAGGACAACAGTAAGTGCTGCCATTACTTGAGACTGACGTGTACCCGAGACAGCCCCAAATCGCACATCACGGGCGGTAGATCCTCAGCCAATGAATGAACTAGCTGTTCCCTGGGTGCCAGGAAGATGCTTTGGAAGCACCCACAGAAGGACGTGCTTGGGGACTTAATTTGCCAGCAGTGATGATCAACTCATCACTTCCTGACCACTTCCTCACTTGGTCTTGTGACCAAAACTGGGTATTTAAAGGTTCAGAAACAGATTAAAGAGAATGCTGTGTCCAAGATACACACTGGGATGGACATGAGTTTTTTTTTTTTTTTTTTTTGCAGAATACCCTTCCTGTCTTGGGGTGGGGGCGTGTCCTTTGTAGGCCATAGCGGCTACAGGTGGGGCAGAGGGTCCCTTGTCCCACTCCTTAGTATGCTGGGGCATAGGCAGGTGATCTAGAATTAGACATTTATCTCCTTCCACCAAAGTGGAGAGTTGAACCTTGAGGCAATGACGCAAAAACACAGGGAAAAAGAAGAACCCTTTTCTGACCCTATTAATTCTATGAATGACATGATTCTCCAGAAAATTCCTTTTCTGATTATATTAGCCAGGATCAGCTTCTTTGGATTGCTACTAAGAACCACGACTAGGGCAAACAATTTTCCCCACACATTTTAATATTTCTGATCGCTTCTGTCAGCACCAGCAGAACCCTGCCACCCCCAGGCAGAGAAGCTGAAACACAGCTGTCACCACCTGTGCACAGGCCAACTCAGCCATGCAGACGTGGTATCTCTTCCTTCCTGGGCTGCCTGGGTTGAGTGGTTGGCCTTGGTAGCAACACATGTATTTAAACGTTAACTTAAATTGAGTTCCAAACAGTTAATGTGTCTTTAAAAAACATTCCATTCCAATGCTATAGTGAAGTCCAAAGTTACTGGGAACAGAGTTGCCAGATGTAAGTTTACTATAAAAGAAGCCAATACTTGCCTCTGGAGGAATGGCTACATGTCCATATTTCCTTATTTTAAAGCAACGAGAGCTTAATAAGGTTAAGGAGCGCAGGTAGGTAGAGCTGTGTTTTGTTTTGTCACTGAGCAGGTGTAAAGGGACTGCTTGTCACACATCAAGCAACACGATCACAGGAGTAGAAATCACCAAGTGTCCAGAAAAGAGTGGAGAATTATCAAAGCTGGGAGAGGTTGGTCTGTTCAACTACCCTCACCCTAGTTATTATATTATCTCACCATTTTAACTTTTTTTTTTTTTTGAGACAGAGTCTTGCTCTGTCGTTGCCCAGGCTAGAGCGCCATGGCATCAGCCTAGCTCACAGCAACCTTAAACTCCTGGGCTCAAGTGATCCTCCTGCCTCAGCCTCCTGACAGCTGGGACTACAGGCCTGGGCCACCATGCCCGGCTAATTTTTTCTATTTTTAGTAGTCCAGCTAATTTTTTTCTTTCTTGATCTTTCCTTTTTTTTTTTAGTAGAGACAGGTCTTGCTCTTGTTGAGGCTGGTCTCAAACTCCTGACCTCAAGTTTTCCGCCCACCTGAACCTCCCAGAGTGTTTAACCATTTTTAAGTGCTGTTGTACAACCATCACCACCACCCATTTCCAGTACTTTTTCATCTTCCCCAACTGAAATCTGAACTCATTCACTATGCTACCTTTTGTTTCCATGAATCTGACTACTCTAGGTACTTCACGCAAGTGGAATCATACAGTATTTGTCCTTTTGTGTCTGGCTTATTTCACTTAGCATTGTGTCCTCAAGGTTTATCAGTCTTTAGCATGTGTCAGAATTTCCCTTCCTTTTAAGGCTGAACAGGGAGGCCTGCTCAATTCTTATATCATGAAGGACTCAGGCACCAAATACCTAGCTACCAAAAAAGCCCAGCTGATCTGACTCTCAATAACATGTTATTAGTCTGCCTGCTAAAGGAAAACAGTGATTCAGAATGACCTAGAGACCACTGATCCTCAAAGTCTTGCATCAGAATTAAATAAAACCCTTACTAAATAAAATTTAGACTCCCAGACCTCTCCTCAGGACCTCGGAATCAGAATCCCTGAGGCTGGGCTTGGTGAGCTGCATTTATAAGCTCCTCAGAAGATTGCGAGACACGGTAAAGTGTGAGGACCACTGCCTACACTGAATACCAAGGCATGGGAGTGCACAGATATGTTTATGTTCTCTTTGGTTAGCAAAACAAGACAAAAACATTTAAAGTAGCTTCCTTTTATTCCAAAAGGTTAACAATAGATGGTTAGAACTGAGGAAATACAGAATTTAAATATGCTTATTTAATGGATTTTAATATTCATGAAAGATAGATTTTAATCCATGGAAGATGGATTTCAAAATTAATGAAAGCTCCCTGCCTTTGCTCACGCTGGGCCCTGGCCCTGGTAAATCCTTCCCCAGAGGTCAAGAACCTAGAAATCTAGCCCAAATCCTAGTCGTTCTTCAAAATACCTGGGCTAATCTTGAGTAGGTTATACGTTACTTGACTTTAAGCCCCAATGTTCTCATCTGGAAAACTGGGATGTTGAGTGATCACATGAGAAAATGCTTTTAACAATACAGTGTTGACACTTAGTCAACTTTCAGCAAATACAGGGTTTTAGTAATATTATGATTCCCTCCCACCCCACTATAGGGGACTTACTTGCTCTCTCTTCTGAGCTCCCGGAGCCCTTTCCCTGTGCTTCTACAGTACCACTTCACACAGGGTATTAAAACCAGACAGGGGGCTGGGTGTGGTGGCTCACGCCTATAATCCTAGCACTCTGGGAGGCCAAGGCGGGAGGTTTGCTCAAGGTCAGGAGTTCGAAACCAGCCTGAGCAACAGCGAGATCACATCTCTACTAAAAATAGAAATTAATTGGCCAATTAAAAATATATAGAAAAAAATTAGCTGGGCATAGTGGCATATGCCTGTAGTCCCAGCTACTTGGAAAGCTGAGGCAGGAGGATTGCTTGAGCCCAGCAGTTTGAGGTTGCTGTGAGCTTGGCTGACGCCACAGAACTCTAGCCTGGGCAATAGAGTCAGACTCTGTCTCAAAAAGAAAAAAAAAACCACAAAAAACTAGATGGGGTCTAGTGGATGGGGTCTGGTGTCTCACTGGATTACACATTCTCTAACCACAGGAACCATGTCTTCCT